CTCAAGTAAATTTTCCACCCCTCACGCTAATCTGTCCTTATTTTTTATGTTCATTTATTTAGACATATATGTATTAAGACGTTGTAACATATATATTAGATGTATAAAGTACGTCTTAGAGATATATGTCGTGTGTGTGTATGTGTATGTATCTAGATAGACTTACCGCATAAGACACACATAGAGGGATTCTTTTAATTGTAGTTTTTTCTTTAAAACACATTCATATTCATTTGATTGCCTTCTGCTTTTCTTACTTAGTGCTACAGTTTGAACATCCCCTAGTCACCTGATGAAACATATTTTCAAAGATTGCATTGTGTAAATCAAAGTACATTTGATGATCGAGTCCATTTCTAATAGGAATTTTTACAGTTTTATCATGTAATTTGTTCAGCCATTCCTGTATTGATTGAAACAACACTGTAGAGACAAGACATTGGAATATACATGACAGCAAACATACTTGTACATATTGTATGACTACTGTTATTTCTGTGTGGTAGATGCCCAGGAGGATGTTAAAGTTTAATATTTGTTGCCAGTTTTCTCTCCAAAGGGATGTCACAACTCATATCGAGACCAAAGAAATATGACAGTATCCTTATGAGGAAATATTACCAATCTCTTGACATTTTAAGTGATGTCTCATTATTAAACTAGTTGTTCCTTCTCTGACTTCTAGTAAGTTTAAATTTTTTTAATTTTTCTTTCCTCACAAATAATTTTCCTTATTTAATTGCTTAATTTGTCTTTCTGTTACTAGGAAATTTTAAACTCTATCTTTTAAAAATATCTGCTCTATGCTAAGAATTTTTAAAAAGCATGTCATCTTTTAAATTTTGTAGACTGCATTGCTATATTTTTTAAATTTCTCCTTAAATGGAGTTTACTTTTATATATAAAATGTAAGATAAATATCTGGTTTTTTACTAGATGGTAAGTAGCTTTATTATCATTTAAAATATTTTAGCCTCTCCTGCTGAGTTAAAGTTTAATCAGTTTGTACAGGTTTTCATATGTGCTAGACTTTTGTATTCAGTCTCACTACTCATCTGTGTGGCTGTTCTGCTCCCAATGCCATATTGATTGGATTAGTGTCTTGATTTATATTCTGATGTGTGGTCAGTATGTTCACTTTTTTATTTCTGTGGTTCTTGGACTTTCTGGTTGTAACTTTCAGATCCTCTCTAAACTAAAAAAGCTTTTGAGGCTTATGTCTCAACAGTTTTTCATAAATATTGGGGAAAAGTTACTACTGTGAATGAAATATTTTTTCTATGATGTTTCCTGCTAAACTAGGAAAAAATTATTAATTTTAAATGTTATCGTGCCTCTCTTTAATTTCATTTTCCTTTACTAGAATTGCTTGAGTTTTCTAGTTATTCTGTCAGATCATTAGCAAAAAGATGTTTTGCCCTTGTATTCCAGTATTTCAGCAGTTTTATTTGTTTGGCTAAAATACTGTTTGCTATCATCTTCAAGTAAGAAATTACGAATGGGGTTAGTGAGATACCTGCTCTAATTCCTAAATATACTCATTTTATTTATCAAATAATAATATCTATATGGCTAAAACAAGTTTCCTGTAATCAGTCTTTTTTTTTTTTTTTAAAAATTTTTTATTTGTGCATACAGAACTGGGGTACAGGCCAGAGGCTCAGGGGCGGTGAGAGGCTTCACCAGAGACAGAGTGGGGAACAGAACAGGCAGATCAACGAAGTACACTGCTGAGGGGAGCAGCGGGCGGGTCAGGAGAGGTCTGCCACGCCATGTGGTCTCCTCCGGGGCAGGCGGGAATCGAACTCATGTGGAAGCGGCTTTAGATTCTCGGTGCTGTGCTTTAACCCGCTGCGCCACCAGGGAGGGCCTAATCAGTCTTTTTTTAAATCCATCTCTGATTGTCTAGTTCCTACCCTTTTATCAAAGTAATCTTTGTGATCTCTTTCACAGAGCATCATACTTCTATATAGAAGCAAGTTCTCGGTATAGTAGTACATCTACACTTAAGCATTCATATGTATGCCATATAGGTGTGTGCAGTTATTTACATACACATATATTCACTGTGCACATACAATCTTAATTTTTTTTATTTTGCAGTTGAGTGCTTGCTTTTGTTCTTTTTTCCAAAAAAAAATTAATTTTCTGTTATTTTCCGTAGTTTTATCATGGAAACTTCAGTTTCACTCACCTGTGTGGCTTTCCGAGACTTACCCTAATGCCTTTTCAGCTTCTGTTGATACAATCATGTGAATTTTTTTTCTTAATTCATTGATATATTGGATTTTGTTGATTCCTAAAAGTGAACCACTTGTATTTCCACAGTAAGTTATGCCACAGGTCAGGGTAAGGGGCACCCCAGAGACCCTCAAACTTGCCAGATCTCAGTAGGTTCTACCAATCGCTGTCTCAAAGACAAAACAACTCTAATGCATAACTCCCTTAATGGAAAGAAACTTTAATACACTCAGTGTATTAAAGAGAAGGGGAAGAATAAAGTAGTTTCCATACAAAGCACCTGGAGTTACCATCTCCTTGTGGGTAATTGCCCAGCCATACATGGTTGGCCCAAAACAGGATAACTGACTCGAAAACTTGCCACAAGCCTTAAGGCACCTTCTGGTGGAGACCCATTGGAAAGAGGGCACAAGGGGCCCTGCAAGTCTGAGACGAAAGGAGCAAAATCAAAATCAAGAAAAAGGCTGCCATTGTTGGTCTCCCAAGTGTCTCTCACCCACATCCGTTTCACGTGTCTCCGTGCATGTTCCCCCAGTCCCTGATACAAGGCCAAGGCCAAGACAAGCACAGCTTCTTCACATGTCTTTCTGCTCCCAGTGCCTCTCCTTCAGGTCCCCTTGCTTGGCTGCTTCCTTTCTTCTTCCTTCTTTCTCCAGTCTCTCCAGCTTCTCCTCTCTGCTCAGCTCCATCCTTCCTTGGGTGGGGCAGGGAACCTAGAAACCCCCTCCCCTTCCCTAGGGACCACCCTGTTAACAGATACAGCAATAAACTATTTTTTATACATGGCTAGACTCTGATTAATTTTATTTTTTATTTAGAATTTTTACAGTTAACTTTTAAGTGAGATCAGTATGTTTCATGGATTATCTTTATTGGATTTAGTGTTAAGTTGCTATGACTTCATACAATGAATTGGAGTCTTTTGTTTTTCTGTGGTTTAGTACTAGCCAAATTATATATTTTTTAAAGATTGAGAGTGCTGAGAATGAGAACCCAACTGTTCTTGGTATCTTTCTCTATACTAGATTTTTAATTATCTTTAATCTATGGTATGTGCTTTTCTAATCTAGATTACATTTCTCTTGGTTCGCTTTTAGTATTTCTTACTTTACTGGGAAATTATTATTCTCTTTTAGGTTTGCAAATGAACTGCCATGAAATTATGTTTGTCTTAGCTTTGTTTTCTGAATTCTCTACTATATTTTCGGTTGTATTTAATTTTTGATTCTGAATCTTGTTGGTTTTCTCTTTTCCCACTCTTAACTAGATTTTCTGAGTGTTATTTAATCTTTCAAAGAGCTAGCTTTTGGGTTTATGTGTGCTTTCAATAACTTTATATATTAATTTCAATATTAGTATTGAATTAGTAGTATCTTAGTGCCTTCTTCCTAGTTTTATGTATTTTTTCCAACCTTTCTATTGAGCCCCCCCATTGTCTTTTAAAAATGTAAAGCCTTAAACACTGTAAATTTACTTCTAGCTATGATTTGAAAGTTTAGGGTGAAGCACATTTTAAATGAATTTGAACAAGAGTGAAATGTGTGTGTTCACTAATAATTGGTTTTGTGGCTTAGTATTGCTGTTTGGAAGCACAGCCAGCACATTTTCAGATTTTCTTTGTACATTATATCTATTTTTTTTAGGCTAGGAATTCAAGTCGGCGAAAAAATGAACTATCACAGGAAATTCATTAAATTCATCCTATAATTTAGGATATGCCGATGTGAAGGGCTTCTAACCTTACCCTATTCATTCTCACATACATTGTTAGTCACCATTAGACACTTGATCTTGCTTAATATCATTCAGTGCTGAGTGTGTATTTGAATGTGAATGTTTTTGACATCAACATTTTTAACTTTTGTCTAATTTATCATCTTAACTTTGAATTAATGGAGATAGTTGCCTCTTCAGATTATGGTTTGAAACTGCTAATAAGTTCAGTCAGTAAAACATGATCTTTTGCTCCTAACCCATGAATAATAGATCTCATTTTTTGTGCAGATCTATATCTGAATTGAAAGGGGTCAGAGTGTCTGAATGGTGAGTGGCGCAGTGGAATGCTAATCTGAAGACAGAAGTTACTAGGCCCATTCCATTACTAACTCACGTGGTGCTCAGTAATCGGAAGGCATCGTGGGTATTCATCTCTTTTTAAAATTGGTGGTAGCAGGCGCGGCTACCAGCAGTGCATGACATGATGCATCACCACCATTTTTAAGAGTTTTGATTTCTTTAGTAGCTCTTTGCAGTAGTTATCTGTTATCCCTGTTCTAAAGATGTTGAAACTGAGACTTAAGGGAAATTGTCCCTCCAGTTTGGCTAGCAGGTAAACTAAATAATGTACTTGGAAAAAGACACCAGAATTTGTCCACCGTTAAGACTTTAACTACAGTCATGCTGCAGTCTGTTTCTTATGTACAAGACTCCGTAGCTGCGCTGCGTGACTGCCACCACACGTGTCTGTCCAGCACATTTTACATCCGTTTGCCTGGGTGGCAGCTGATAGCGGGCTAGATGGCAGGGGTAGGACTTGTACTACTTCTCCCAAATGAGTGATACTGCAAGCTATCCGTTTTTTCTAGTTTTTTTTTTTTTTTAATTCTGCTTCAAACCAGTGTTTTATTGTAAAACTATGAAATAATTTTTAAGAGCATGATGAGCTGCTGTTCACTATGAATATCCTCAAGTTGTATAGGTAAAAGTTTCATTCCACCTTTGATTAACAAGAGTCTCTGAATCTTGTCTTTGTTCTGCAGAATGGTGAGTAACGCCGCGCATCTCTGGGAAGGCTTTTGATTCACCGCGTGTAAAGTATGCTCAGTTCCTTTCCAGTGGTGTAAGTGTCCAGTTCATCGCTTAAGTTTTCTCTTCTCAATTGTAATGAAGTTATCAAATAACTGTTACTATGATCCACATTTGACAGCAGACACTTGTAGAGCTGAAGGGTTTTTCATTGTCATGTGGTAAGGAATGAATTTTTAAACCTATCAATGTTTTCCTTTACCTTTGTGCTTTCAGTTAAAAGTCTGACATTAATTTTCAGTGGTATATAAGATGAGTATTTTAAACTGTTTGATAGCCTAGAAACATGTGAAATAACTGGGCTAGCTGTTGAAGAGAGCTAAGTGTTAGAGTCCTTATGACAAACACAACAGTGGGCTCAAGTTCCCTTTGTCTTTTGTATGCAAACTCTCCGCACCTTCTCCCCTTCCCTTTCCCTGCTGGGGATGGTGGTGTAGTCAAGCCTGTGAGCTAATGTAGTTGTTAGCCTCTCTTTGGAGTCAGGCAAAAAATACAAATTGAGATGGTGGTATTATGTTAAGAGATTTTGTGTGTGTGTGCTAGGATATGAACTGTAACCACTAGTTCATATTAAATAAGCCTCTGAATAAAAGTATTCCCGGAATTTCAGATATTAAAGAAGATAAAGTATCTATTAGCTCATTAAGTGCATCTTTAGAATCTAATGTGGAGTGCCTCTAGCATAAGTATCTTCTAAAATTTGGTGCAGTCTACATTTTGATTCAGTTCCTTCCGTTTTGGTTGACATTAAGATAGGTTTTCTTTATTATGTAGATTTTTCATTAAATCTTTTTCTCTTCTCATTGACGATTAAATATCAAAAAATCTCTGGAAAAGACCCAAAAGATGGACACTGTCACATAAGTTTCTGTTAAGTAAATACGTCCTTGGGAAGTGAAAGGTCCTGACGGCATCGCTTTGGGCCTTCGTTTCCTCTTGGTACTCCCGGCCACAGCCCACTGCAGTACCAGCCCGATTGGGCCAGGAGCGGTTGCCTGCTTTGCTCCTTGCTGCATCCTCTGTGCCTGGCACGTAGTTGAGTGAATTTTTGTCTCAGTGATCTCCTGTTCTCTGATTCCAAATCAAACATGTTTCCTTCTATAGACTTGCGTGTTTATACTTAGATTTTTCCCCCCAAACTTGCATATGGTGGCTCTGATAACAAAATCTTAGTCTTAATCAGTGATAATTTAAAGTAACTATTAAAGTGTGACTGGTACATTGCAATGGAACCCTAGTTTTCTCAGTAATTTTATTATGAAAAGGACTTTTTTATACTGTTACCTGTAACATATACTGTAATCATAGCCCTCTTCCTTAGGCAGTAGTCAGTTCTCCTTTTGGTTTGGATTGTACAAGAATCTTACCTTACTGTTGAGCTCAATCTCCAGGAAATCTTTGTTTCTTACATTCTTACTCTTTGTCGTTTTCTTACTTTAAGACTGCCACTTCTTTCTGATAATAATGATGTGCCATAAATAGTAAAAAGGTCCTGAGTGCATCTTTCGTTGATGAATATAATTATTGACTCTGAATGTATTAAATTATGCGACAAATACCTTATATGCAAAGCAAAACTAATTTATGACTAGATCATATTTTGCCTAGTCATTATAGATCAAATGAAGATAGCAGAATCAAGCTAAAGTGTTTTTTGTTGTTGTTACTAGTAAAATCTTATTAACTGCTAATGCTTTACAAGTAAATAATGACATTCTGCACATGTGAGTTCAAGAATAACCATTCCTCAAGGCTTTAAATCTTTAATACATGTTTGTAGAAAATGTAGTTTCAGGATATTGTGGCTGTTATGTCTTTATCCAGGAAGGGTTTAGGTACATATTCCAAGAAGGGATAGAACTGATTGTGCAGTATGTTTTCTGTTATGGTCTGATTGATAGTATGGGCTTCTGGAACATCAGCTTATGAACAGAGCCATAATTCCTGAATCTAATTGTTCTTTTATGCTTTAAACATTGTCTGTGTGACTGCAATGTTGAAATTCTTTTCTCATCACTTTCAGTTATTATTGGCCTGAGTCTGCATTCAGATTAGTAATTTAAAGTGAAGATGTTCCTTATCCTGTGCCCAGTCCTTAATTTTCTTATACTGTGTAAGAGAATTAATTCAGTTCCTACCTGATCTCTTTTTCTGTTATGAAAGAGCTGTTATCATGGACTTAGATGGCCTCTGTCTCTACACTTAAACTAGGTACATTATAAGGAATAAAATTTGGAGACAGCAGAATTTGTACCTTTCTTTAAGTTAATTGCATATTGCAATATTATTCTTGATACACAAGAAAGGCTTTAGTCTTGGCATTTCTTTGCAAGATATTACACCTTCAGTGCCAGGCTGTTATTTTGATCCTGCTCATTGTGACCTGTTGTTCCACTCCATAGTGGCCCTGCACGCATTCCAGCAGTTGTACATGCTTTTACTTTAAGTATATCTTTGCATTAGGGATTTCTCAGTGCAGGACACAGACACTTCATTTAAACAAGGTGAAGCCTAAAGGAAATTTATTTTCACATCGTCATACATGAACAGGGTGTATAACAGGGTCTAGGAACTACTAGCATGAGGGACATGAACACTTGAGAGCTTTCTTCTCCCCTCTGCGTTTCTTGCTATGTCTTCTGGATTCTCCCACAAACTGGCTTCTTCCATATGGTGAGAAACGTACCAGCCTAGCATCTGTCCTTCTGAGCAGTTACGGTAGCTGCTCATGTTCCACTAGTCTTACCTGAACATTGCAGGAGCACAAGACTTTGCTTCTTTGCACGTGCGCTCTGCGGAACAGGAGGCGCAGTGCCCCAGGAGCAGCGGCCCCACAGCCCTGTGTTTGGAAGCGCCGGGTATTCTCTGTAAACCCCTGACAGGTGCTTGTGTCACCTCCTTTCTTGACTTTTGGAGTAAAAGGCTCAGTGAATCTGAAAGACAAAGAGTATCACATTGTTTCAGTAAGATGGAATCTTCAGTTCTGGTAGTTTGAGTCAAGCATTGGGCTGGGTATTTTTTCAGTGATGGGTAAATTTATATATCTGGTTTTATGCTGATATTACAGAGTGCTCCATGTAGTGAAGTTTAGGGAATTACATACAGTTCACTCTATCCTGATAAAAACAAGCTGGGAAATGTCATGACTGATTGTGTGTGTGTCTCCATATAATAAAAAACAGTTTGGAACACTCATGTCTAAATAAAGCAAGGTAAATTTCTGAAGTATTTGGAGAGCATGAAGACAGAATTTAGCAATGGAAAGATCTATTCAATTTTCAAGCAAAAATAAATAAGTAGAAATCTCAGATCATAAATCAAGGGGGTAAATTATTTGAATTGCTAAAAGGATTTGGCATCTACTTTAAAAAGAACTTCCTAGTGGCCTTCCATGGTGGCATGATGGGTTAACACGCAGCACTATAAAGCTACCCTCAGCCACTGCAGGACAAGTTTAACCCCTGGCCAGGGAGGTGACCCACACGAAACAACAGACCTTTCCTGACCTGCGTGCTGCTTCCCTCTGCAGTGTATTTCAGAACATCTGCCTTTCTACTCCCCACTCCGTCTTTGGTGAGTCCCTTCTCCACCCCCCACACCACCTCCCCCCACCCCCGCACCTCTGGCTTCTACCCCTGTTCTTAGATACATGATAAATAAGTCTTTAAAAAAAAAAAACAGAAAAACTTCCTAGAACTAATATATGACTAGGCATTTGACAGAGCAGGCAAAGGGCTGAAAGCTAAAGCAGACAGAAGTGTTAAATGCCTCCTATAAGATATTAGGGAATGTCCAGGTTTGTTTTTCAGTGAACCTTGCCCAATGACCCAGAGACTACGTGTCAGTCATGTAACAGCATAGCTCTGCAGAACATTTTAATAACGGATCATTTGTACTAAGTAAGGTATACTTTGTTCTTTTAGTTGGTCACTAGAAAGCTTAAATGAGTCAACCTACTCTGAAAGTTTTCCCTACCAATCAGGTTGGTATTCTGGGGAGGGGTTGTGTGCTAACAAGAAAATTAGTACAGTTACAATAACCAAAGCATTTAGAATAACTAATAGTAGGAAATAGTCCAAGTTTCCAAAATGAAATAAACAAATCTATAATACATTCCTACAGTGAAGTACTACCCAGCAATAAAAAAGAACAAACTGCTGATACAAAATGTCATAGTTCAATCTAAAATTTTTATACTGAGTAAAGGAAATCTAGCACAAAAGAGTACATAGAAATTCCAATTATGGGGCCCTTCCTGATGGCACAGCGGGTTAAAGCACAGCACTGTGAAGCTGGCCACGGCCTCTTTGCTGAGAGTTCGATCCCCACCTGGGAGCTGACCCACAGGGCGCAGCAGACCTCTCCTGTCTCTCCCTCTGCTCCCCTCAACAGTGTACTTCATCAGTCTGCTTGTGCTGCTCCTTACTTTGGCTATGGTGAATTCTCTCACCATCCCTGCACCTCCTACCTGTATCCCAGTTATGTATGCATGAATAAATAATTTTTTTAAAAGATTCCAATTATGTAGGTTTATAGACTATAGAACATACATCCAGAATACTTCTGTGGTGGGAAAAAATCAGAATAGTAGTTACCTCTGGGGCAGGGATCACTCTATAACTCTATTTCAACTTTCATATATCAACTTTTCTTTATGTTGATAAGTGTTGGTGGGAAAAACCGAGCCAGCCAGAAAAGGATGATGCGGTCATGGAAACAGGACATAGATGACTGTCACAGATGAATACTGGGGAAACAGATGAGTCTCATTGGAAGGCGGAGCTTATGGCCCATCACACAAATCACCGGCATCATGTTATTTTGGGCTCATAAGATGTGTGTGCTTATGTGTTTTTATTTTGTATTAAACAGCCTGTCTTGAAGCTTGAGAGATTCCACATAAAAACTCTAGATTTTTTGCTTGCTTATTTTTAGAAGCATGTGAAAGACAAAACTATCTAGGGGAAAGTGTAGACAATCCAGAGGTAGATACAGGTTCGTGCTGAGTATTGAGTATGGTTAAGGTGGCTTTTGCAGACCCCTGGGGAAGAGCAGTATGACACAAGTAAGCATCCTGGACAACCAGTTATCTGTTCAGGAAAAACAGAATTCATATCTTTCACGCTAAATTAGCTAATAGAAATTCTAAAAGGAGCAAGGATTTTTAATACAACAGCTATTCTTAGGGCCCCCTGGTCCATCAATAGAGTGTGTTATCTAAGTCTTTAACTGGAGAGGTAAGAGTGCACCATAACCTGTACCTTCAGTCACGTGATTCTAGCAATTCCTGTCATGTTGAAACGAAAAGCAGAGAGATGCATCCTTTTTCTATCAGTAATATCTAGAGTTAAATTTTTTTCTTAATCAGAATTTTTGCAAGGTGTAAAGCAACTCTGAGGCTTAGTTTCCTTAACTATCAATGTAATTTTTCTTTTTAGTCTGCCACAGAGAATTGCTGTAAGATTAGTTGGGATTACATTATATAAAATGCTTACCCAGTGGCTGCCAAGAAGCAGATGTTCAATATATTTTTAGTTTAGAGAGATGAAGAGCCAATGAGGTCTCTTAATGGCATAGGTGGGGTTGGCCAGAGCAGATGTTTTTACCTGTGAAGAATGAGAAAATTCCTTGGCATTTATTTCTGTCAGCAGATACTTACTGAGAAGTCTACTTCATGTGTGTATCCTATTTAGAACTAGGACCATAAAAATAGAAATAGAAGAATTTCACTTAATCATAAATAGGAAGCCCAGGTTTTTATGAGAAAAGAACTAAAGTAGATATTTGACAGCCCCCATAAACTTAATATTTAGTGATTCTGAGACATTTTCCGGCATTCTACACATGATGTAGAAACATTTTCCTTAGAAAAGTGAATAGTTCAGCTTGGCTACAACAGTGAAAGATGCATTTCTTGGGATCCCTGTCATGAGAGAATACATTACAGAGAGGAGATTCTTAGGAGATTGCCAAGGGGAGGGTGGTGAAAGGGTGCTTAATGAGGTTTTTATGTACCTCTCTTTCCATTTAGATATTTTACTGATAATTAGTAGGTGCCTGGCAAAAGTTAGACTTCCTAGGTCAGTTTTGCTGATATCTAGTGAAACAAGATACACAAACTATTATTTTCAGCAACTTTCCATTCATACTTAAAATGTGAAATAATAAATTTGAGATGGCTAAAGAACTGGTGACTAATCGCCTAGCCTAGGCTTCAAACTATTTTTTTTTTGGCTCATAACTGAAATTTTGATTCAGATATTTACTGAGGAGAAAGAAAATTGTATGCTATATGGAACTGAGCTTATGTCCATCCTAATTACCTCAAAAGCTGTGCCACACTGTTCGCCATGACTCCATGCTCAAATGCGTAATAATAGTTATCAGTATAATTAAAATAATGTCTTAATTTTAGGAAGGCAGTTAATATAGAAATACTATGTCTTCTCTGCACATTCTCTGCAATGTTCTTTGTAGGTGCTGTAAGTAAAGAACTTTAAATTTTATTTTTCAGTTTGCTGGAAACCATGTCTCACTATACAGATGAACCCAGATTTACCATAGAGCAGATAGATTTGCTGCAGCGCCTTCGGCGTACCGGAATGACTAAACATGAAATCCTGCATGCCTTGGAAACTTTGGACCGTCTTGATCAAGAGCATAGTGACAAGTTTGGAAGAAGGTCCAGCTATGGAGGAAGTTCCTTTGGGAACAGCACCAACAATGTCCCAGCTTCTTCCTCTACAGCTACAGCTGCCACGCAGACCCAGCATTCAGGAATGTCGCCATCGCCTAGCAACAGTTACGATACCTCCCCACAGCCCTGCACTACCAATCAAAATGGGAGGGAGAATAACGAGCGACTGGCCGTATCCAATGGAAAGATGTCACCAACTCGCTACCATGTAAACAGCATGGGCCAGAGGTCATACAGTTTTGAAGCTTCAGAAGAGGACCTAGATGTAGATGATAAAGTGGAGGAATTAATGAGGTTAGTTCATTTGTTTATTCAAAAACCCTAAAAATGTCTGTGTTCTCAGGTTGTTTTGAATAATAAATATTTCAGTGATTGACCTATAAGAGTTGTGATTCCCCCCCTCTGATGATGATGAAGAAAAAAATTCAAATTATTTGCTTTTAATTCAAATTCTTTCTCTATGTCAGCCCTTTCTTTTTGCTGCTTGATTAGCCTTTTCCATTCTGTTTATCAAAGCGGGATTTAACTTCTTTTTATGGTTCTAACTGCTAACAGACACATTCTAATCTTTAAATCTAATGTAAGTATACTTTTTCTAAAAGATGCTTTTTTTTTTTTCATACTCTTAATTTTTTCCCTCCAATATAAATATCAAAATTGTTTAGAGCAACTATTATATTAAAAGTATTACTTCTGGGAAGAAAAATAGACATGGTTTCTACCCCTAAGAAGCTAAAGTTCTAATTTTAGCAAAAAGTTTGAGGGAGGGGAGTAGGTAGGTAGATTGATATTGGTTGCTAGGTAGGTTGGTAGGTAGGTAGATATCTATTACCAGGTAAGCACAGGCACTTCAAGTTTTAAGGGCTAAGAAGTGAGATGTTAATTTTCAACAAATAATTAGGAAGGCTTCGCACGGGACCTTGCACATCAAGAGCTCGTTGTGTCTTATAAGACACATAGCACAAGCTTAATATGTTACGTGAATGGATGAGCCTTAGCTAAATCTTAAAGAATAACCTCAGTTTGAAACACAGGGGCTTTTATCTTAAGGTAAGGGATTGGTAAAAGGTAGAAAAAGCAAAGCATGATTAACTATAAAAATCTCGGAAGGATGAGGTTGTGGTACTAAGAATAATGTATTAGGAGACACAGGTTTGGGAAGATTTAGCTTAGTACCAATCATTCCTGTTTCAGTGGGTCAAAGTTAAGGGAAAATGGGAATAGAGATAATAAATATACAGCTCCAGTAGATGATCACTACATGGTGTCAGGAGAGCCTATAGATAAGTTACAGTGAAGTAATCTACAGCAGGAGTTTGTCAGAAATAAAACTGAAGCCTTAATTATGATTGACAGTTCTTCCTAAAGATGTTAAAACTTGAGAGTATAGTGGTAACTTAGAATTGCCATGTGGAAGATCTGTAGTCCATAGTGGTGAAATATCTTTTAAACAAGCTGACAATAAGCATTTAAAACCTGAAAATCTAAGAGGTAAAAGCAGCTGTGAAAAGTTCAAATGTACATTTTCAGTTATATATCAGTATAGATAATACAGTTATAAAGATATGTATGTGATAAACATATGCACATACATTTACCAAGATTAGCAGGTAGGACCATTTGGACAAATAAGTTTGCTTCAGTCTTTGAAATATAACAAGTATATATGTTAATTATTTTGAATATAGGAGATCAACAATAAACTTTATTAAGCAGTTTATTAAGATAGTAGCCTGTTTTTTGTTGCTGTTGTTAATAAACAGTTTTAACAAGCTGCTAACATAACAGTTAATTCCCAAATGTGTACTAAGCTACACAAACATTTCAGGGCAATTTTTTTTTTTTTTTTAAACAAAAAACTTTGGAAGATTGGTTAGGGTCTAAAACTTGACCATACAGGTCTAAAATCTAAGCTATTAAACTCTAAATTGGCATAATGCTGCAACTCAGTGGTGTCCTGAAAATAAACAGAAAACCTATTTAGCAACAAGTTGGAGTTAATCACTAAATACATCCATCTCTGTGCAAGGCTGTCAGTGTTTACCTTACCTAGCAACACTTGGTGCCTAGGTGGGCCATTTTCCTCTTCTCTGCTTCCTTCCTAGGACTGCATCTTTCGTGTCCTCTAACCCCTCTAACCCTCGGGTGTCTCTGGCCCTTTGATTCTCAGTGTGCCTCAGCCACACCTCCTCTCCTCCTTTGTGCCCTCCTCTTATTTTTCTCACAGTTACAGGTAATAGCAATCCCTAAGTGGGAGGGAGAAGTTTACTGCATCACTGTTTTCACTTTTAATCGTTTCAGGCATACTCTGAGGTAGAGCAGAGAAATTAAGGTTTATATAAATTAAGTACTTGATCTAAGAATACTCAACTATGAAGTGGCAGAACCTGAATTCTACCCTAGAATTAGCAGTTTGTGTCTGATACTTGTTACCTCTATAAATAAAGGTTCATATTTGTAAATTTCTGGTTAAGGTAACTCGAGACAAAGTAGAAATGCCCCAAAGGGCTTCCTCTGTCCCCTATGATGGTTGCACATCAAATCCAGCACTTTACTACCAAGCGAATTTTTACTTGGTGGAATGTTAGAGAAATTTTTGAGTAGTGCCTCTTTCTGAGTACCCTACGCCCATGTACTTACTTATCCCTCCACATCCTGGGAGCGTGGCAGTGGGTTGGCTCTGCACGTGCATAGATTGTATGCCATTGTGCGCTTCCATCCCCAGCCTCCACAGCACTTAACTTTAGGCACATTTGTTAAGCTTCTTCTATAACTTCAAGGTGCATAATAAAGGATTTTTCTTAGACCTTGATTAAGTTAAAACTGTACATCTGATCAACTTACTAAGACTCAAAATGAAAGTAATTGCTACTTTTTCCATTTTGGAATTAATCAGGCTTTAAAAAAATGGGGAAATTAGAATGTAATTTCTTAACTGTTGAATATAACATTGTGGGAATGTTTAAAGCTGTTAGCTAAATAAAGCAAGACCCATTTCATAGGTTAACACTCTGAAAATGCATCTGTTCTAGATACTTGTAGGTATATATGTGTCCCTGGAATAATAATGGCATATAGCTGGCAAAAGTGTACGTTTTCATCCTGATATTATAAAATAATAATTGAAGTGAGACTTAACAGTATTTATAAACAGTACCATACATTAAAGATAATACTAGCTTCCCATGTGCTAAATATGATGAGTGTTTAATGTTTTATACACGATTATAAAACTTTGTCCAAGTTGGTTATCTGTAGGCTTAACAATATGGTTATTTACTTGTGCAGCGAAGGTATTTATATTCCATAGGTCATAATATGTAGTTGTTTATACAAATAGAATAGCTTTTCTCCTAAGTTATCTTTTGCATGTCCATGGGTAGCAATTAAGGGGAGCAGATTTTTATTCAAAAGTAAAAGAATTTGTATGTACTATATTTTTCTTCAGTGGTATAATCTATCTTAGTAGTCATCACTCCATTTCTGGAAATCTTTATGTTAAGTTACTCCCTGTAAGGGCCCAAAGGATGTATGTATCAACTAAGAAAACAAGGACCATCTCAAAGCAGAACACTTTTAACCATGCAGTTTTTCATGTCCTTGCTCCAGAAAATGAAGCATTGTCATTTTGAGCTAGCATGAATAACTCTTTCCTTCTGATTTGGGAAGCTTAAAACACATTTGCAAATAAGAATTAGAGTTGCTATATAAATTGTCTAGATCAAGTGTTCCAGTGTATGGCCTTTTATCTCCAAGTGCAGATTTGTTCATTCATTGAACAAAGTAAACCCTAGTAGATTTATGCCTGTGATGAGTAAGACACAGTCACTGTGCTAAAGACCTGTACAGGGTAGAGGAGAGGTAAGACCAGGTCAGGAATGACTAGCACAGAATAGCCTGTGCTTTATTAGCGTGTGAGTAGTATCATTGAAATACTAAATTTTGCTATTAAAAGAAAAGGTCATCTTTATCTCTGAAGATCAGGGAAACTTCTCTTAGTAGAAGACAATTAAAATGTGTCTGTTAATATGGTGATTCCATTTAAAAAAGTCACAGTAATTCATCCAGATATTAAGATAAGTCTGTTAGAAAATTTAGGGAATTATAACATGAATAGCAATGAAGGGTGAAACAAAGAATGTTATCCTACTATGGAAATCACCCAGGTAAGATGAATCCAGCATGACTGTGATTTGGAAAAGGTAGTAAGAAATGATACTGACTTCAAGGCAATAGATGCAAATAGTCATTTATCTTAGAAGTAAAGTCTGGCATCAAAAATGATCACTCTGTACTTCACTTTAATTCCATAAGACTTGAAACTATAAGGAGTGTGAGATTTTATTAGAAAAGGGAGGAAAGAGATTCATTTTTTTTTTTAAAGAAGCTATCAAATTTCAGATGCAGAGAAGAAAGATAGAAAGATGAGAAAATTAGATTTGGTGTAATGCAGGAGTGTTCACTAAGAAACTGGTGATTTTGGCCCTCCCTGGTGGCACAGTGGGTTAAAGCGCAGCACTGCAAGCCAGCCACAGCCACTTCAGTGTGAGTTCGATCCCTGGTCCCGGAGGTGATCCAAATGGTGCGGCAGACCTCTCCTGACATGCCCACTGCTCTCCTCCGCAGTGTACTTTGTCTGTTCTGCTCCCCACTCTGTCTCTGGTGAATCCTCTCACTGCCCCTGCACCCCAGTTCTGTATGCATAAATTTTAAAAAAATCTTTAAAGAACAAAGAAACTGGTGATTTCACAGGGCCAGTGTGAACAGGAGGAGAAGCAGATTGTTACAGAATGAATGAGGAGAGGATGAGGGGAATTTGTGACGTTAACAAGAACAAAACTCATGGAATGGAACTCTTGAATTATGTAAGAGAATTGGACACGGTAAAAGTTGAGTGTTATTACAGAAAAAAAAAAACCTAATAGATATTTGAAGAAGATCTGGTAAAACCAACTAAGTGACACAACTGTGTGTGCCTAGTTGACTTGACAGAAGTCTCCAGGTTGCCTAACTCCTGTAGAGGTTTACTTCAGTCTCAGTCACCGCAGGTCACTTGTCTCTTCCTGGAGCTCCTCCTTGGGCTTTGTGAGGTAACCGCCTGCGCTCATTCAGTGTTGTTCTAGTTGCAGGGTTGTGGCGTTGGGTCACTTTTTCCTTATATACATTGTACACAATCTGAAACATCATTTAAGTTTAATTTCAGTGTTTGGTGAAAAAATTTAAAAGCCTTATAATTGAATGTTACTATTCTCATTTTACCTCCTGATGAAACCAGCATCCAGCTTTATTTTTAAGGACTTGTTCAGATACACCCTGATCTTTGAAGTCTTAGGTTTTTCTTCAGTTTGCAAATGTCTGGTAAATCTGTTGAATGTAAAGGTTTTTACATTCATTGTTTCATTGTTAGTTCTTAGAAACAGTAGTGAAAATGTCTGAAAATACAGCATATTAGAGGGTAACTAACTTTGGGGAGAACCTTCTTTCTTGCTGAAGTCCTTGGTGCTATTGTACTACAATGCTGTGAATAATTCACAGATTCTAAACCCTACTGGGTTAATTGAGTATTATCTCCTCTGTATGATTTAGTGTCTACTCTAGGTGAATTTGGCATAAAATAAATTGATTTAAAGTCCAATTTAAATCAGTAGGCAAGAAAGTCCCATTTAATCATTATCCCTACAAAAGCACACTTTACTTAACCTTAATAAATATTTTCCTAGAGGAACATTCTATATGTTAAAATGCAGTTCTTTCAGATTTTTTCAGATTAATTTTGCAGTTGTATCTGAAGCCAAATGATTTGGTTGTTCTACTCATATAAGGTTATTTAAATTAATACTGCTTAAGTTACTTCATCAACTGATTATTGATAGATAATTGAGGCCTATTTGGTCTACAGTATCCATATTTTACTCAGCACTTTGTTATTACGTAAGCAAAGCATTTTGGAAGGAATCTAGCCAGTAACTATATTAGAATCTGGATCAATAGGAAAAATTTTCCTTATTGGACTACACCGCTGACTCTTACATCCGGTAGGACTTCCAACTGGTAGACCGGCATGTACTGTAGACTGCCTGGTTGCAAACTGCCCCTCTGTCACTTCCCTGCTTATTTCCAGGTTCCTGAAGGAGAGTGTGGACCCCAACCACAGAATGTGTAGCCCTCCTTACGTAGGGGCCACAGCATCTGCTCTAAGTTAAGTCACCCCTCATTTATTTATTTTGGCTAGGTTACTTTTCCTTTTGTTATCCAAGTATAATATAGAGAGAGAGCTGAAGTCTTTAAGAGTCTGTGGTGGTCTGCAAAGATGCACAATCCCTATTCTCAGTTGGGGATGGTGGGCACACTTTTTCTATGAAGGGCTAGAAGGTAAACATTTTTAGATTTTTGTGGCCAGGAGGAAAAATTGAGACTATAACATAAATACTTACATACATGAGAGAAAAGAATGCCTATACATTTTGACAAATTAAATGTAAAATAATAGAAATTGAATAGAGTTTTTGAAAGTCCAATAAGCATGGCATTTGACAGTTGGAGAGGGAATAATACTTTACTTAATGGTCGACGGTAAACATTCCCTGGCATCAGTTGATTGCAAATGTTCATCAGTGAAAACCAGCCATAGCTCACAGGCGGTCTAAGAAGAGGTGCCAGGTCAGCTCTAGCCCATGGGGTGTAGGTTACTCTTTGTAGTATTCCCTATTACTTTTGAATTTGACGTTAAGCACTGCTGTTTTTATGTAATTCTTTTGAACTTAGGCATTCAAAGAGAATGCTCAGTTTTAAGAGTTTAAGTGTGATTTTTATTTAAGTATTCTGTTTCTTCTGGTGGAGCAATAACTCTTGCCATTCACTGCCACCCTAGTAAATGTCTGATCTTTTGAGAATTCATTGAATTTTTACATGAGTAAAGATTTAGTAGGAAAAAAATAAATACGTGATTTATAATCCAGTAACACAGAATAAGACATACTATTATGCATATTACATGGAAATTCATGAGTATATTTCATACTAAACTTTTATATCCAACCCATCCCACTTAGAAATATTTTTGTTTATATAGCAAAAAGAACTGAAGCTGAAGGCCAAAGCCATTCTTTAAATGGCTGACATTTTAGCAGCTGTAAAGATGATGGTGACTCCTAAGTCTTTAACAAAGATTTTAAAAGATGAACTGAACACAATTTATTCAGTTGTACAGTTAACATGGGAAGCCATAACCTACCCACAACTGATTGTTATTGTTGTTTTTGCTTTTTATTTTTCTAGGATTTCTGTCTGTGTAAGATATATTCATTCCCCAGTAATGAACCTATACACACACACACACACACACACACACACCAACCATATGGCAACCTTGTCCCTAATGTGACTTACACACAGCATGCAATAAGCCAGCCTCTGGTATGAGACTTCTGTCTACTGTGGCACTCACTGAAGCGTCTGTCATGATGTGATGTTGTAGGACCTGAATATTTGGTGTTTCTTGGTTTGTTTTAATTTCATATTTTCACACAAGCTTGGTCTGTTTCCCTTTATTTTTGTGTCCTTTCTTTGTGTTCTCCCCACCTCTCTGCTTCACCTTTCTTAGCAAAGACGAGGATTTCTACCTTCAACATACATTGTTGGTCTTGTCTTCTGTTTTTGTTAGGAGGGACAGCAGTGTGATAAAAGAGGAAATCAAAGCCTTTCTTGCCAATCGGAGGATTTCCCAAGCAGTTGTTGCACAGGTAACAGGTAAGAGCCAAAGAGCCCTTTATTCTGGAATCATGTCTAGTCCCCGCCTTCTGGTGCAGATGTTGAATACTGCTTGCATTACTGCGCTGCAGTGCAGATTGTCAGCTTGGGCATAATGTATGCCTGTGATTTAGAGCCCATTGTCTCCCGTATCATGGAACTTCGCCAGTGATTTTTTTTTTAACTTGTGCTGGTAAATTCTATAGCATTGATAATAAGCACAAAATTCCCTACTTTATGGCTAAAGAAGGGTTTCTGTTTTTTTTTTTTAATTGTGACAGGATTTATGACACATGTATATCCAACTGCTCTCTACAGTTCATATTTTTAAAAGCTTTGCAGTCCTCCAAATCTAATCCCTGCTTTTATTAAAAAAATGATTCATGAGAGTTGTATTTTTTTAAACCACTTTTCTGTAAGTGTAAACTTTTCCTCCAGCCATTACTGAGAAGATAAGAGTCACCATTGTCTTCTCCTTGTGCTTTATATCACATTCCATTACCCACCACAGCTCCATCTGAATATGTGGCTATGTGTGTCATTCTCAAATCAGATGGCATTTTCTATGACATTCTTAAATTGGGGAGTAGCATGTCTTTTCTTTGTTAGCATGTAGTATTCCCTTCCTCGGGCTATTAGTGATTTACAAGACCTTAATAAAATTAACTATGCCTTAGTCATAAGAGGATCCTACACTTCGTAGGTGATGAATTATTGTGCATCATATGTTGATAGATATGAAAGTTATTTGTTCCCCTTCTTCCTTTTTTTTTTTTTTAACATGCCACTAACAGCTGTGTGGCTTTGGTTTCTTTTTAACCTCTGAGCCTCAGTTTCTTACCTCAATAGTGAAATAGATTTGATTTTCACAGTAACCTTCCAATTTTAAGATAGTATTTCTGTACTCTGGATATTGATGTTAAGCCTAATTTACCTAAAAGGCTGTTATTGACCATTAACTCAGTTTAAAAATGAAACTTGACCTTTTAGAAGTGTTAAATTTCATTCCAAGAATCTCACGTCAGCCAGTCCTTGTGTGTGTGAATGCTGTGTGTTTATATTTCACATAATTTTGTTTCTATGAAATCACTTTGCCACTTGTAAGTTTCAGGTGTGCTTTATTGAGAAGCAAAATAATTTTTATTTATGAATGACAGTAAATCATTAGTTGTGTAAATCACTAGTTGTATCTAGGATGCCTTATTCCCCCAACCTCTTCAACTCCTGTCTACCAAAATCCTAGCCCTTACTACTCTCATCCTGACTTTTGCAAATGGAGATCTCTTTTTCTGAGGTTAATTACATGATGGTACTAAATCTTCTTTTGTTATGTGTCTTAGAGTATTGTTCTTTTAGCCACATCTTTCTTACACAGCTTCAAAGAGTCCCTCATTACACATACTCTGTAGAGTGTGTTTATCTAGATGCTTTGTAATGCCAACTTGTAGGGTGAAGGGGATATTAGTGACATTAATACAAGAGATACCTGTGAAAATTCATCTGGTATGACTTTTCCATTGATGTTCCTTCTCCAGAAATAATTATCTATTTGTGCAACACATGCTGCATGAGTTTCCGCCCTTAAGGAACTTGCATTTTTCTTTTTATCTACTTCAATTATTTACATGAGGCAAGCGGATGAGGATTATTTATAACAAGACTGATTCATTGTCTTATTGGGTAACGTAACTGAATTCATGTATTTCTCATGTATTGTGATGCTGCATTTCCCCCAATCCACTCAGGTTATCAAGCTAAACTCAGGGACAGAGCTTTCATTCCAGGAAAAGTTCCAGCTAGAGAATAATGAATGAGTGGACCTGGCCCTCAGAGTGGGCCTACCTGGGTAGAGCAGGATGAGGAAAGCCTGTAGGCACCCAGGCTCGCCCACTCAGATTCCCGATCAGTACGTGCACACGCCCTCCCTTGGAGCAGGTTACGCCTGTGCAGCTCAGAGCATGTCCATGAAGTCCACCCCTGAATCAAGAGAAGGATGTGATGTTCCAGAATCCCATCTTCTAATGGAGTCTTCTAAAGTCACTTAAGGTCAACTCTGATGTGTGAAATAATGAAACAAATCAACCTTGAGATAAAAATGTGAACAGCGGTGCATAGCAAAAAAAAAAAAAAAAAGGGCTAAATTAAAAAATGGAGTGAGGTGCAAAATTATAACGCATGTGCTTGTTCCAGAAACAAATACAGAAGACTCTTTTTATAGATTTGAGGATTTCTATAATAAGATAAACAAGAAGTTCATGGGTGGGGTCTGTATAAATAATATCCTACTGATAGGAAAAATGACAGTATAAACAGGATATAATAACAGTGCCTGCTGAATTTCCCAGCATGTTATTTGTAGCTTCTTTCTCGGAGTCACAGCTGCCCCCGCCAAGGGTGGATTTTACCTCTGTAGGAGGTCAAGCAAGATTCCGAATTCTTGCTAGTAGCATTGGAATGGGGAGAATAGCCTTTGTTTGGCCATTAAACACTAATGTAAGTTCTCCTGGAGGGAGACACTTTCTTAGGCGATTTAAGAATTCTTAAAACATGATTCTCTTTATAAATGAAATCTGGGGTAAATCAGAGTAAATGGGTAAGGCATGTATGAGTAATTATTACCCAAAGGAATATACTCCGTGGGTTTATTTCCTCGTAAAAAATGAATAAGAAATTAGCATGTATAAATTTTAAGAAATTCATTGTAATTTTGTGTTCTTGAATGGTAATAGTGGGAAGGAAAATCCAGCATTAAACTTCGGAATACCAAGGTCCTAGGCTCTCATTAAGTAGCCTTGACTCAGGGCAAGTTGCGTCTTTTCTCTGACTCTCCGTTTCCCTGCTTACAGGGTGAGGAGCTTTATATGACGAGTCTTTGTTCTGGGTACCCGTATTTTCTCACTTTGGAGATGACTAAATTAAACATTGAAGTGAAAGATATTTTCTGGTTGTCAGATTTGATAGTTTTTAAACTATTTAGTGTATTTAACAGGTGTGCATAGTGTCTGTATCCAGTGATTCTCTTCCCCAACTATACGAGGAGCTTTGAACTAGTTTTAGAAATTCTGTCTGTATTAATTTTACTGCTCTTTTTAAATATATCTTTTAAGGAAGGGTAAAAACACTGCATGCTCAGTTTCATTGTTACTTTTTTTTTTTTTTTACAGAAATATGTATATATATTGGTGTTCTCCCCCATCATAGAACTCTAGGCCAGATCTTAAAAGCCAAGTAAATTGTCAGTATACCTTGAACAAATCAAGCAATAAAATCATTGTTTTTTAGACCCAATTTAGGTTTCCCTTCACCCTTGCAACCACTGGCACTGATATTTGCACTGTCTCCCTGGTTTTACCGCTCCGAGAATGCTGATGTGGCCATGACACATCAGCTCTTTCCACTTAGTATTGAGGTTCCTGAATGTCTTTCCATGGCTAGACAGCCCATTTCTTTTTAGAGCTGAACGATATTCCATTACCTAGCTGGACTAGTTTATCCATGTACCTACTGAAGAACATCTTGATTGCTTCTAATTATATTTATGGCAATTATAAGCAAAATATAAATAACTGGAACTTATATATACATTAGAAAAGAATTGTAGACAGGGTAGAAATCACAGGCTATGGAAATGCTCATTATAATTTTACCAGATCTAACTGTCACCCTCATTAACAAAATTTTATCAATTCCTAACTACCTAATGAATTTTATGAGTCTTATCTAGATCTCTGAATTGAAACCTTTTATCTCTCTACATGTGAGCTCCTTGTCTCCCAGTTTAAAAGGTTTAGAGTTTTTGTTTTGTTAAGGGAAAATTTCTTTTTAAATCTTAAAGTGAACATCACTTGACAGCATTACAAATGTTTCGTCAGAGTGCTTTTTTAAAATTTTTCTTTGTCCTGCTGCCTCTGGAGAATAAGAACAGATGTCCTGTGATTCCAAGAATTCTTACTTTAGATCTCCTTTTTTTGTACCTTATAAGATGTTTCTTTATAAGAAACTATTGACATAGTCCAACAAACACAGTACCTGAACTTAACTTTTCTCTTCCATAGGAAAAAAACTCAGCCTCTCTATCCAGAAACCTATATCCTCTCAGTCTGAAGACAGCTAAGTTAAAAATTAGAGTGAAAATGTCAGAGGATATGATTTGTTTTCAGATTCATTGTCTTATTATGGCTTTCCTCATCTTGAATACAACATAAAGGATTATACTTTTTGGTAAAAGCTGTGAAAATTGGGGCCTCCCTGGAGGCGCAGGGTTAAGGACAGTACTAGTAAGCTTTGGCAGCCACTGTGGCACAAGCCCAGGGAGGTGACCTGCAGGGCACAGCAGACCTCTGTCTCCCAACTCCTCCCTCCCCTGAGCAGTGGATTTCAGTAGATCCCCCTCTTTTGCTCCCCACTCTGTCTCTGATGAATCTCTTCATTACCACCTGCCAATACCTCTGGCCTATTCACCAGTTCTTGTGTGCACAAGTAAATCACTCTTTTTTTAAAAAATTATGAAGACTGATTTTCAAGGATCAAAAACATTTTTCTTCCTGTATTTAAGGAAAAATTATATTTTTAACTGTTTCATTCTGTGATAAGTTTTGGCAAAAAATGGCCTTAAAAGGTTAGGCAGAGATGTTGGTTTTTGTCCATTCAGGAATTTCCATTTCTTATTTCCTAAGATTGTGGAGTTGAGTTTGTACTTAATCTGTAATAGTCTTCCAGCAGTTTTATGAAACATTTCTTACCTAATGTGACTTAATTTTCCTTATTAGAAAAGCCTGATGGGGATTAATGACAGAAAAAAGCTAACAGCCTTGTGAGAAAGTCAGAAGATATCTGTATCTGATAAAGCTGCAAAATGTAGGTTTCAACTGTAGTCATTGTGAGTCATCAGGAAATACAACTTCCTGCAGAAGTCGTGCAGTGAATAAATACCATTTTTTGGTAAACTAGGTAAATTTTTTAATGTATATTACTATTATCCTGTTAAGTATTGAAGTTTA